ACAAGCATTCAGTGAAACACTGTGGAGTCTAATTTTAAATAGTGTAATTTCCTGGTCAACAGAGATAAAAGAATTGCAATACAGAGCCTTAGGTCATGTAATGAGTTTACCTTTCTCCATTCGGCTTGGGATTCATTGGTCTGGTCGGAAGGGATTCATGGACTTGGAGTTAGTATTTTTAATGCTTCCCTGGATTCCAAGGTGCAGTGAGGATTGAGAATCATTGTATTAAAGGAAGTCTATCTAAAATGATGATTTGAGTATTAAAGTAGTGGAGCTTAAGTCTTTTACATAAATCTAATTTCCCCCACCACTTAAATTTTCACCCCAAACATGATAATTTAAAAATTCTAGCTGAAATAACATGATCAATGAAGACAGTCTAAAAAAGTCATAAAAATATCAAAAGAAGAAATCTCTAGTAAATCAACCATACAAACCAAACCACCACCAACACTAGTGGTACATGTCCTTCCATTTAGCCTAATAAAATAAAAACTTTGTGTGCAAGGCCATGTTTTCATGAGGATACTCTCAAATGTGGCAATAAAACCATTTCTCCTACAGTGCAGGTAAGGATGCTTCTCTTGCTGTGTTATAATTGGGGAGCAAGTATTTATTCAATATCTCTTTTAAAGAGAAGTGGTATCCAATCATTGTGCTTCAGCTCACAATTACTGTCTGATTTGTTGAGACCCCTATCACGACTCTGAACTGGTGTGAAGGGGAAGAAAGAGCCTTTCTAAGAAAGTTTAATTTGAGTTCTTCTTGCTCATCCTACAATTTATATTTGTCTGCAGAATTAAAGGTTGAAATATTATTGGTTAAGTGAATGAGTCTTTTGGGTTATCTTACAGGTTTCAATTTATATGCAGCTATTCTGAAAACCCTCAGTGAAAATCAGATTTCTCACTTAGGCAAATATTTATTCCTCAGACTTAAGTCTTGCCTTTATTCTGTGTCTCCATATCTTTCTTGGAACTCTCTGTCTCCAGTAGGAGCTCAGCAGAGAGGAACACCCAGGGGTATCACCAACTCTACCCATGCTTAGCATATCTGGTATCTGGTCACAATAACAGTATAGCAGGCCTGTAGATGTCTCAGATGTACTATCTTGGCTAAAAGAACCAGAAAACCAATGAAGTATAGCATTGTATTTTAAATTTTGCTTGTATTCAAATTTAAAGTCCTAACATTAAATTTGAATAGGAATTACCGGTCCTTAGAGACATATGGGCTGAAGAACACTTACCTGGTGATTTAATATAGCTAATGGCTGCACCCACTTTGGTACAAAACATCTCAAAAGGGCTTTATTTTATTTTAATTTTTTTTGTAAGCAGTCAAGTGTGTTAAATGATTTTAAAGTTTGTTTTATTGTGTGTAGGGAAAGAGTCCCCTCTAGCTCTGTCCCCAAACTGTACTGATGATGGAAGTAAAGAGGGTTAAGGCAGTGCCAGCCCTTAACCATAAGATCAATTATCATAACATCCAGAATATTGAATTTGGGTGGAGTCTGTAACTTGAGTAACTCCTGTTCAGTATTTTATAAGAGATAGCAAAACCATTTGTGAGTGCTCTAGTTGATATAAATGGGTCTCAAAACATCAATGGAAATATGATTATCTGGTCACCATAAAACACTTAATGTGATGACAAATTTAATTTAGGAAAAAGGCAGCATCCTATACAAACACTTGCTTATAAAATATTTCTTTTTTCCAAAAGTATCCAGAGGAACTCTTCTAGAACAGGGTCTATAAAGTAAGAGGGGCAGCCAGTAAATTCATACACATTTGTCTTCATTTTCTCTCCCCAAAGTAAAACTTAAGTGAGTTTCAATGTAGACTTAAGTGCTAACTTTTCAGTAAAACTTATGGACAACCATGGTGCCTGCTCAGGCCTCCAGGTTTCCTCTGCATTTTGTTAACACACTCAAGTGCTTTTAGAGTTGGTTAACTCTCAGGAGGTAAACTAAGCACTGACTTAGGGCACTGATAAAACTGGTAGTAAAGATTTTGGAAAAATATTAATCTCCTTCCCCAAATAAATGTAATTCTTGATCGAAATAATCATGGTGATATTGAACTTCTTTATACTTATTTATTTATTGAAAGTTGTGGACCAGTAGCATCCCTGTGCAGCAACCACATGTAATTAAGTCCTCTGAAGATGTCTAGTTGGTACTGGTTATATACGTATTTACTTATATTTACAAATTTTAGAGGGAGGGGAAAGGAAGGAGAGAGAGAGGGAGAGCAACACTGATGTATGACAGGAACATCCATAGGTTGCTTTATGCATGTGCCCCAACCAGGGACTGGGTTTTTAAGGTGAGCTGTTTTCAGGTCCCTTATTTCTACCTGAGCCTGAGCTCTATAGGTGCTGGCCATTCATCTTTTTCACATAGTACAGTGCCTGGAACAGAGTAGATGCTCAATAGGTGTTAAAAAAACAATAAATGAACAAATGTACATTATAGAAATTGTAAATCCAGATATGCAGACATTAGAAATGCCACCTCTCAACCCCACCTCCTTTTAAGGTACTATTTTAAACAAATGTGCTTGCCTTAGCGACCTGGAAGTTAAAGGGAGGAAAAGAAGCTTCTTCCTCCCCCATCCCGCCGCTTTAAACCATCCCGCTTTCTTTAAACCATAAAACTGCGAAGTTAATCATTCCCTCAACAGTGAAAATACTGACAGCTGCCTTGGTAATACTGCCAATAGCAACCTAACTATAAATAGGAAATATAACAAGTAGCCAGATCATGATGATTTAAAAAAATTGTGACAACAAAGTTTTAATCACCAAAACACAGAAAACTGAACTATACAGAAGTCTGAAAACAACAAACCATTCAGCCTGACTGGTAAGGGGGACGGAGCCAGTGGCCAAGCGGGGTCAGGCAGGAAAGATCTGCTGGACCCACCCAGGCACACAGGCAGCCGTGGCCAGATCCCAGGTGTGGGGTAGCAATGGGCAAACCCAGTGAGGGCGCAAGGTGGCAGGCTGACTGCGGTCACACATTCGCGAGCAGATAAACCAGGTGAAGGAGCGAACAGAGAGACAGACCGTGTAGGCCCCAGTGGCAGGAAGCAGCAGAGGGGGCCACTATTGCCCCTCTTTGACCCTGACCCCACATACAGCATTATAACCCAGCAACCTGAGTGGCCCCACCCTGGTGAACACCTAGGGCTCTGCCCCTCATATGTAATAGGCGCAAACAGACCAAAACATTATGGCTCAAGAACAATTCAAAGCCCCAGAGCCAATAACTCTAAGTGAGCAAGAAATTGCCAACCTATCAGATGCACAGTTCAAAACACTGGTGATCAGGATGCTCACAGAACTGGTTGGTTTTAGTCACAAATTAGAGGAACAAATGAAGGCTAAACTAATTGAAATGAAGGGAAATGCACAGGAAACCAATAGTGATGGAAAGAAAACTGGGACTCAAATCAAGGGAGTGGACCAGAAGGAAGAAAAAAATGACCAAACAGAAAAGGATGAAGAAACAAGAATTCAAAAAAGTGAGGAGAGGCCTAGGAACCGCCAGGACATCTTTAAACATTCCAACATCCAAATTATAGGGGTACCAGAAGGGGAAGAGGAACAGCAACCAGTGAAAAACTTATTTGAACAAATAATAAAGGAGAACTTCCCCAATCTGGCAAAAGAAATAGACTTCCAGGAAGTCTAGGAAGCTCAGAAAGTCCCAAAGAAGGTGGACCCAAAGAGGAACACACCAAGGCACATCATCATTACATTAGCCAAGATTAAAATGAAGGAGAGAATCCTAGAAGCAGCAAGAGCTAAGGGGACAGTCACCTACAAACAAGTTCCCATCAGAATGTCAGCTGATTTCTCAGAAGAGACCTTATAGGCAAGAAGGGGCTGGAAAGAGGTATTCCAAGTCATGAAATCCAAAGACCTAAAACCAAGACTGATCTATCCAGCAAAGTTTTCATTTAGAATAGAAGGACAGATAAAGTGCTTTTCAGATAAGATCAAATTCAAGGAGTTCATCATCACCAAGCCCTTATTATATGAAATGTTAAAGGGACTTACCTAAGAAAAAGAAGATAAACAAGATGAAAAGTGAAAGGACAGCAAACTCATAGTTATTAACAACCACACCTAAAAACAAAAGCAAACTAAGAGGACAGCTAGATCAGGAGCTGAACCACAGAAATGGAGGGTTAGCAACAGGAGTGAGAGGAGGAGAAGGGGGGAGAAGGTACAGAGAATAAGTAGCATAGATGGTAGGTAGAAAATAGATAGGGAGGAGGGCAAGAATAGTATGGGAAATATAGAATCTAAAGAACTTGAGACACATGGTCATAAACTAAAGGGGGGGGAATGGTGGGGGAGGGGGTATGCAGGGTGGAGGGGAATGAAGGGGGGAAATAGGACAACTGTAATGGCATAATGAATATAAATTGTTTTTGTTATAGAAAAACTGAGACATTTAGAATTGACTTTTGATAATAAAACACTAATAAACCTCAACGTGATGAAACAGAAATGGTGCTTTCTCCCCACTAGCAAAACCAATTCCAACAGCAAATCTTGAAACTCATTACAAAATAAGAAACTTCCTAGAAGAAATTTTAGAATATTTTGTTAAAACATGCCAGTCATAATGCTGACACAATGATTTCTTCTTTAATGATTAAGAACATTTTTTCTTCTTAAAAATGTATATTCTAGTGGTGCATTTTAAAGAAAAAGTCAGATATTCACATATTTAATAATCACTACTGCCAAATTAAATTTAAAACACAATCACATGTTGCAGACATATGGGTTTTTAAAAGATTATCCTAGATCAACACCTACTATTGAATTCTGCCTTGGCTTATGTTAGTTACATGGTAAAATTTTATTGGCTCTATAATTGATTATTTTTTAAATAAAGTTCTTTTGAAAGAGGATAGGAGAGAAAGACAAAAGATTTGCAAAATGGAAAAGGCATTCTGTATTGCAAAAATACTTACCACTCAGAGGTTAACTGCAGAGCGCAATAGCCAGGTCAACCTCTGGAAGGCTCAGGAACACTGAACTAGCTGCTTTGTTGCTTCAGCCAGGGTTTTAACCACCAAGGGTGGGGTTAGGAGTGGGGAAATTTAGGAGGTGGGACCAGAGGAAAGAAATCTTGCCAGAGCTATCTTTTCTGACTAGGGGGGCAATGTTTTTGTATTTAAGAATGTGGATGCTGCATTTTATCTCATTGCATTTATTTTATGTGACATTTGGCTGATAAATATTGCCCCCAAAGACAGCAAGATTTCTTTAGGATTGGGAAACAATACATTTTATGAAGGTTCAAGGCTTGTACATTTAGTTAGGATTTCTTCTATAGTTCATATACTTCCTAAGGCATTTAAGATTCTTGAGACAGGTTTAAAGTAAGAACCAAGAAACTAGTCTTATTTCTCAAAAGTGCTACAGAGATATGCAAACTTCCTCTTGCCAGGTTTTTGGGATTTCTGTTCAAAAGAGCTGTGTGGCATGAACAAGAAAAGATATTGAAAGGTTAGTGGCAGAGCAGGGACATGGTCAAGGGCATTTTGGAGCCACCTGCCTGGTGCCAGTGTGGAACCTGGATTCTAGAAGGCAAGACTGAAATCAGTAGCTCACTCCAGGAGTAATTTCATAGAGAGTGAAGGATGGAGAGGGCCTGAGCAGGGGTGGAAAGCAAGAGGGTGAGTTTAACAGAAAATCATAATAGGAAATGGCAGGTCTTAGAAACTGGGCAGAGGGAAGGGAGGGAATGAATCACTTAATGAATCATTAGGCACACAGACACACGATAGTGTATATAACAACCTTAATTGTTTCTGGTTGCTGACAAAAAATTTTGTTAGTTTAGGTAATGTTAAAATGTCATTCTTTCTCTCAGTGTGACTCTAACAATTTGTATTTTCTTTCATGTGTTGGAACACAAAATTTAAATGACTGGCCCTTTTGTATCTCAGCCACCAACATGCCATCCAGACTGAGGAAGATCTGGAAAATTCAGGGCCACATGAGCCACGGACACAGCCACATTGGCAAACACAGGGAGGCCTAGGTAATGCTGGTGGCTTGGATCATTGCAGGATCAACTTCAACAAATATTATCCAGGTTACTCTGAGAAAGTTGGTATGAGATATTACCACTTAAAGAGGAACCACTGCTTCTGCCCTACTCTCAACCTTGATCAACTGTGGCCCTTGGTCAGTGAACAGATGGGTAAATGCTGCCAAAACCAAGACTGGAGCTGCTCCTACCACTAATGTGGTGCGATCAGGCTACTACAAAGTTCTGGGGAAGGGGAAACTCCCAAAGCAGTGTGTCCTAATGTAGGCCCAATTCTTCAGCAGAAGAGCTGAGGACAAGATGAAGGGTGTTGGCGGGGCCTGTGCTCCGGTAGCTTGAAGCCACATGGAGGGGAGTTCATTTAATGCTCCCAAGGGCTTTGTAAAAAAAAAAATTGAATGACTCATATCACTAAAACTGTTTTATGTTCTCCCTGATTAGACGTGTGTACAGAAGGACTTGTTTATGAAGGTGGGAGATTGTGGCTGAGGACCAATTCCCAGAGAAAAGTGGTCAGGACAAGTATGTGTGACTCCTGACATTGACCAGAATACTTTAGGGTCATTGCCCTTTTCAGACATGATCAGGCACCTTCAGGGTGGTATGGCTGTAGACACATTGCCCTTTTCAAAAAGGACTAAGGAGCCATCAGCCTGTGCCAAGTGGAGCACTTCCTGGAGCAAGTTCTGTTAAGTATTGTTCCTGAGGTTACCCATTCGGCAAATGATTTTTAAAAATTTTGTTTTTGTTTTTTCTCCCTCATCAAGTATAGGGAGAAAATAGCTATAATCTTTCATTATAATTGTATATTTATAAATTTTTCCCTGCCTTTGTGTATTTGGCTGCTAAAGTAGACATTTTAAAATATATTTTATTTATTTATTTATTTTTCCATTGCAGTTGACATACAATATGACATTAGTTTCAAACTGTGTACAACACAGTTATTAGACATTTATGTACCTTACTAAGTACAATGAGTCTAGTAACCCTCTGTTATCACACTAAGCAAATGTTTATCAACACAGTATGGCATAGTGGTGTCGTTGTGGCCTCTTCAGTTGGAATTAGTGAGTGACCTCGGACTAATTAGTTGCTACCTGTGTGTTTCAAGTTCTTCATAAGAGTGTTGTCCAGGTTGAAAAGTGAACTGTCCTAGTTCAATCTATAAATATATAACAAGTACTCAGCAAATGTCAATGTTCATTTTTGTCCCCCGAGTTACGGAAGTGGAAAGAAATTGAAGAAGTAGAATGTGCAGCTTGTCACATAGGATGTGGACAGTGAGGGACAGGAAAGAATGAAACGTTTTCCAGATTTCCAGCCCAGGACGTTGCTTGACAGTTGCATATCACTTACAGTTCTTTCTGACTCAAGTCAATGTTAAGCAAAAATGGGTTTTATTGCCTCATGTCTAAAAAATCCTGGGTACAAACAGCTTGAAGACCAGTTTGCTCCAGGACTCAGCCCAGTGATCAGGGTCCAGGTTTCTCCTTCTCTTGGCTCCACTCTCCTTCATGCTGAGTTGTTCCTTTTCTGACTTCATGTGCCCTGTAGTGGTTGCCAACAGCTCCCAGGTTCTCCTCCTCGATTCTGGGGCAAGAGAAAAAACTAAGAATAATTAACACCCATATTTGCTTACTACTGCTCTAAATTTTTACACTTGTAATTCTCACAAGGATGAGGTAGGTAGGAAAACTGAGGCATATTAAGTAACTAGCCCAAAGTAACCAATAAGAGACAGAGCCAGCATTTTTGCTCAGGCAGTCTGGTTTCATGTCTGTGCTCTGATGTGCCTCTTCTGAAAGAGCTACCATCTTTTTGAGTCCAGTTGCATTGTATTTGTTCTGTTTGAGTCCATAAGGCTAGAATGTGATTTCTAATTGACCAGGCTTCAGTCCCATGTTTACCTGAAGAAGACCCGGGAAAATGCCACCCATAGCTCCTGGGCTGGGCTTGGGGGTGTGGTGGAGAAGAGGGGATGACCTAGCAGAAGTATATCTAGATGCCCTCTTCAGAACAAATAGCAAAACAAGTTTCCCATCACAATTAAGATGGAAAATAAAAGAAAAAGTTTCAGAGACAAAATGATAAACTCAGTGTTAGAAAGCTAAGGTTTAAAATGTTAGAAAAACATTAATGTGAAGGTGTGGCTCATTAGACATATCGATTAGTACTTAAAACAAGATGACAACCAAAGGGCAAGAATAAAGTGATTGGTAAAGAAATATCGAGCAAATGAAAAACAAGTGAAAGCAGGTGTGGTAACATTACTATCAGACAAGATGGAAATGTGGGCTAAAGGCAGGCACTTCAAGTTTAAGGAACATCCTTATATAAAAGGCACAGATAATCATTAAGAAGACATAACAGTTATAAAGTGGACATCAAAAAATGTCTACTTTAGCTGTTGTGGCTCAGTGGATTGAGTGCCGGCCTGAGAACCACAGGGATGCTGGTTTGATTCCCCATCAGGACACATGCCTGGGTTTTGGGCCAGGTGCTCAGTAGGGGGCATGTGAGAGGCAACCACACATTGATGTTTCTCTCCCTCTCTTTCTCCTTCCTTTCCCTCTGCTTAAAAATAAATAAATAAAATATATTTTAAAATGTCTACTTTAGCAGCCAAATACACATAGGCAGGGAAAAATTTATAAATATACAATTATAATGAAAGATTTCAAAATACCACTTCACAATTAGCCAGAATTAAAAGCCAAAAACCATTAATTGTGCTGTGCACTTTAAACTGATACACTGATTGTAGGACAATTATATCTCAATAAAACCAGGGGGAAAATCTTGCAGACCAAAAAATAATACGAAAGTTATACAAGTCAAAACATTATTCAGTTGAACTGAATAACATAATGAAATAACTTTATACAGTACATATAAGGACCTGTATGACCCACAAATAAAGAAAATATTTTTTCATAAAAATGAAAAATTATAAATACATGATAAAAGGTGATCTAAAACCCATAAATAGTTAGAAATTAAGAAATGAACTCCTATGTAAATCTTGGATCAAAGAGGCAATAAAAGGGAACTCATAGTTCTCATGAAACCAATGAAAAGGAAACCACATGTTATTGAGACAGACAGGCCCCTGAAAGTGGAACTAAAAGTAATATTTAGAGCTCTAAGAGAAACCAAAAATTAAAGAAACTAAACATTAATCTTAAAACATTTTTTAAAAATCAGGAAATTGAAACCAATAGAGGTAAAAGTTTAAACTAATGATATAGAAAAATAACAGAAAGGATGAAAATAATAAATAAGTCAGGTGGTGAGGGACAAATACCACATGATCTCACCTATAAGTGGAGCCTAATCAACAAAAGAAAAATCGAGCAAAATATCATCAGAGACATTGAAATTAAGAACAATCTGACAGTACCCAAAGGGGAGGGGGGAGGAAATAATTCGGGGAAGGGTTTGAGGAACATTTATAAAGGACACATGGACAAAACCAAGAGGTGGGGGTGGAAGCAAGGGAGGAAGGTGGGTCTGGCTGGGGTCAGGGGGAGTGGTGGGGGTAAATGCAGACAATTGTACTTGAACAACAATAAAATAATAAAAAAAGAAAATAGTAAAAAAGATAAGTCAAAATCTAGTGAAAATAACTTCAAAAGTTTATTGAATAGACTAATAAACTATATATATTTATATAAAATACATGATTTAAAATGTTGAAGAGGGAAAAAATAAAAAATAAAGGTTAGGAATGAGAAAAGAATCCTAATCTCATGCATGTGAGAAAAGTTTTATGAGACTTACTATAAAAACTCTACAGCAATGACTATGAAAACCTACAGGAAATGTATATATTTTCTGGCAAAATACAAACTATTAAAAAAGACCCAAGAAGCCCTGACTAGTGTGACTCAGTGGATTGAATGCTACCCTGCAAACCAAAGGGTCACAGGTTCAATTTCCAGTCCAGGCATGTGCCTGGGTTGTGGACCTGGTCCTCAGGCTGGGGCACACAAGAGGCAACCACACGCTGATGTTTCTTTCCCTCTCTTCCTCCCTTCCTCTCACTAAAAATAAATAAATAAGATCTTTTTTAAAAAAATAAAAAGACCCAAGAAGAGAGGGAAAATATTAATAGATCAATGATAAGGTGATTGTATGTTAAAAATCAGAAGACTCTAAAGCCAAATGACCCGAAGCTGAATTTTAGTTTACCTCTAAAGATCTGATATTTCCAATGTTAAGTTATTTAAACCCTTGCTATCTAAAGTGTGTCTACAGACTGATAGCATCAGCCTCACCTGGGAGCTGGTTAGAAACACAGGTTTAGCTACTTCAAGCCATAGAAAAATCTTCTAAATTTATGTTTTCAAGCCAATATAATTTTAATGCAAAAATTTAAGAAAAAATTTTCAGATGACTTGTAATTTTTAATTACAATTATAATTATAGATTAACCTCACTTCTGATTTAGAGAGAAAAATTATAAATAAAATATTAGCTTATAGAACCTTCATTTTATCAAAACAATGAAAAACAATAAGCAAGATTTATTCCAAAACTGTAAGAATGGTTCAATATTCATTAACATAATCCTTTACATTGATAAAATAAGGAAAATATCAGTAGGTGTTCAAACAACACTAAAATCCAGCAGCTACTATTCTAAAATAATTCTAAGCATAGATATAACAGCAAACTATTTAAATGGCAAAAGACTACTTAAAAGACCAAAAACCAATAGAAAATATAATTTTTTATGATACAGTATAGTAACAATTTATTAATGATACAATATCTTTTTTTTATTCTTGTATTGTTATTTATTTATTTATTTAAATTTATTGAGTTATTTTTCAAGTACAGTTTTCTTTTGTCAATTTCTACCATCTCAACCCCCCCCATCCCGTCTCCCCACCTCCCTCCCATCCCCTCCCTCCCCACAGACCTCATCCCTGTGTCTTTCATACTTGTTCTTCAAAATCCCTCCTCATTTTCCCCTTAAATTCCCTTCCCTCTCCTCTCTGGTGGCTGCCCACTTGTTCTCTATTTTAGTGTCTTTGTTTTTATTCTATTTGCTTGTTTATTTTGTTATTTAGCTTCCTGTTAAAGGTGAGATCATATGGTATTTGTCCTTCAATGCCTGGCCTATTTCACTCAGCATAATGCTTTCCAGTTCCATCCATGTTGTTGCAAAGGGTAGGAGCTCCTTCTTTCTCTCTGCTGCATAGAATTCCATTGTGTATATGTACCACAATTTTTTGATCCATTTATTAATGATACAATATCTTAATGATACATTGTCCTCTGATACTTGGATACTATATAATAACAATGAAATAAAAATAGCAATGAACAAAGACTGAGTGCTACTAATATGTTAGGTACTATTTATTTTTTTTTAAAGATTTTATTCATTTATTTTTAGAGGGGATGGGAAGGAGAGAGGGAGAGAAATCAATGTATGGTTGCCTTTCATGTGTCCCCCACTGGGAATGGCCTGCAACCCAGGCATGTGCCCTGACTGGGAATTGAACCGCGATCATCTGGTTTGTAGGTCCGTGTTCAATCCACTGAGCTACACCAGCCAGGGCCATTAGGTACTATTTAAAGTGGGGTTTTTTTTGATTTCTCAACAAAAACATTTCAGGCCAGAAGGGACTGGCATGAAATATTTTATTTATTTCTTATTGATTATGCCATTACATTTGTTCTATTTCCCCCTCTTTATCCCCCTCCACCCTGCACACCCCTCCCCCACCATCCCCTCCCCTTTAGTTCATGAACACGTGTCTCAAATTCTTTAGATTCTGTATTTCCCCTACTATTCTTACCCTCCCCCTATCTATTTTCTACCTACCATCCATGCTACTTATTTTCTGTACCTTCTCCCCACCTTCTCTTCCTCCCGCTCCCCTGTTGCTAACCCTCCATGTGATCTTCATTTCTATGGTTCACTCCTGATCTAGCTGTCCATTTAGTTTGCTTTTGTTTTAGGTGTGGTTGTTGATAATTGTGAGTTTGCTGTCCTTTCACTATTCATCTTTTTTATCTTCTTTTTCTTAGGTAAGTCCCTTTAACATTTCATATAATAAAGGCTTGGTGATGATGAACTCCTTGAATTTGGTCTTATCTGAGAAGCACTTTATCTGTCCTTCCATTCTAAATGAAATATTTAAAGTGTTTTAATTAATACTCAAGAAAACCTCCAAAAGTAGACACTATTACAATGATGGCTTGGTGATTGAAAAAACATAGCAGTTTGTTTGTGATATAAGTGAGTGATATAAGACATTGATTAAGATATACCATATTCAAAGCTTTTTTCCACTATGTTGAACTTTAGTCTAATGGAATAAAATAATACGTTTACATTTCAACACATTTAAACATGATATTCAATGGAATTATCTTAAATTGGAAGTCACTGAATAGAAAACACAAAATTCAAACCTAAGGTTTTGGGTTTTTCTATCAATATGAAATGTTCAATAATGAGGGTTATCTATTCTCTTTGCACAGCTATTTAAATTTTTTCTGTTTTATTTATGTTAATAATTAGAGTCATAAAAGCTATATTGTTATTAGTTCTGCTTATTTACTTTAGAAAAATT